TTTGCACAGCCCTAGGAGGGCTATGGCATCGCCCAGGGAGGCGTTTATGAAAAGGTGTATCCGAATCGAAATCCTTAACTCATAATAACTTTGCTTAAAATAGGAGTAACTTCCGGCCAGTTTTCGAAGGGAACTGTAGGGACGTACTCGTGGGTCACCATCGGTTTTTCTTCCATACAGATAGAGGCGAGTCCATGCAGCGCGATAGTGAAAAGTTTTTTGCCACCGCGTGCGAGGTGGCGTAACATCCTGGCGTGGCATACAGGCTGAAAGCGATATCCGTGGATGACGCCGGCCTTTTTTTCTTTCTTCCTCGCTCTTTCGGAGGTTTTATCTTCGGAAACGCGGACTCTACCCAACTTCAGTGCTACACCGACCACGATGTCGGCAAGTTCTCGGCTAATCGCCCACGACGCAAAACGGACAGTGGCGGCCGGCTGCTTCGCTTACGCATGCAAATCGCCTTGCTTTTAACTTTCGCATCTTTCTTGCCGTTCACTGTATGATCGCTCGGAGGAAGTTTCGCTTTCTACGTGACTCCATATTTACTTTAAAACGAGCGTCGCTAACGGACACGTTGCTGCTTTTACAAACGATCCTTTCGTTTATCCGACACAAACGCCCAAACGCAATAATACCAAAGCCACATGTGCGTTGTAAGCCCGCAAGCACAATGACTAGGCGAAATTCTGTATTACCCCATCATTCCCACGGTCCCTTTAACGATCGCAGCGCCAGAGTTAGGCGATCCTATAGGAAACTCTAAGGCGTTAGCGGCCACTGGCGAGTGCGTGCCCGCAGCTGACGCGTCCAACCTTGTTCATGGGGTGACGATGATGACGATGGCGCCAACATGCAGCGTGCTAAAGACCATACCAGCAGCGCGGAAGTGCGTCACAGCCTTATGTGCCGTCCCATACGCTAGATGACGTCAGTCGCAACCGACGGCTTGTCATTACCGAAGCTTTTCCGAACTTGGACTGGGAGTGGTCGGAAATGAACAGACTGTAATTAATGATCTCTGGTGCGCTGAATAAAGCGATGTGCCGTGTTATGACTAATAGGACTCGAGCAACATATTGCAAAAAAGGAAAAAAAAAACACCGAAATTTCTTTTTTTGCGTCAGTACCCTTTAATGCGAACATTATGAGCAAGCATTATATGAGCACGTGTCACAAACACAACAGCTGTGTTGATGGATATGTGGGGTTTAACGTCCCAAAACAACCGCATGATTGTGAGAGACGCCGTATAGTGGAGGGCTCCGGAAATTTCGACCACCTGGACAGAACAGCTGTGTTACTTTTCGTGTTTGTACACGTCTTTACAACAGCGCTGTCAATCAATTGCTGACGGATAACCACCGCCTGATTAATGTTCCTGAATAAAATTTTTTAGGGCACCTGCGCTGCAGTTCTATTTTTTTTCAGCTTTCACGTGTATTTTTTTATTTTTTGAAAGCTTATTATTATCGGTTGTTTTTTCTGCACAACACATGTGTACCGCTACTGAGGACTGGAGCTGCATATGGGAACTTTCAAAATGAATGAATGAATGAATGAATGAATGAATGAATGAATGGTCTACTTACGCCTTTTGGCAGAGCATGTGTTGTGCGTTATGATAGATAGATAGATAGATAGATAGATAGATAGATAGATAGATAGATAGATAGATAGATAGATAGATAGATAGATAGATAGATAGATAGATAGATAGATAGATAGACAAATAAGATATTTATTAAGTTCTAGGGTCTCTAACATTGCGCCTTTAACGATGTGCGAGTGCCGCGACCAGCAATCTATCCCAACCTTAGGTCAGCAATTGAGTTATTTCCTATAATCTGTACGGACGTTCTCTTTCATCAGCTCGTTACCTACGGAACTTGCACTTGATGACTTGCATGCACGTGATATTTACTGCCGGCGAATGGCGAAATATTCATTGAGCGCCGCCAAGACGGCATGACGAAATGCACCCGTGGAGTGAAATAAGACTGGCGCGTAAACTCGGTGCAGTCCTCGACGTCCACAAAACCGAAGGTCGTCTACTCACTCCCGCCTCGTTCACGGCCGGACACTAGCCGCGCCCGGCCTTGCTAATCAGTCACCCTTTGCAGTCAATGTAGTGACATGTTGCACTACTTTGGCTCCGTAGTCGAGATGGGAGGGCATGGCGCAGAGGCCTTCTGTAGAGTGCCCTTCCAACTCGACGTTTCGATAATGAAAAATAGTGTGGAAAGACGTATAGGTCAAGGCAGCATTGGTCGGCGAACTCACTCATGAGTAGACTCGCCCAGATCGAGCCGCGAGTCGTGCTCAGGAATATTTTGGTGAGTCGGAGTAAATTCAAAGCACAAGGCATGTGCGAGACACTGTAATCGCGCGGATGCGCACATCAGAGGTTTTCGGTTTTGTTCGCAGTGAACATATGGTTTTGCTTCCTATATTAATTTGTTTTTCCTATAAACGTTCAGTTGTTGGTACATGCTCCTGTCTTACATGTTTTGTCTTGTTCTCTTCGCCTTGTCCCACGCGTTTTCCGCGCTACTTCATGGTTTATCAACTCGCCCAACAGTCAATCGTTTAATGTCAACGTTCCGGTGTGCTGCCCCATTGACAGGCGGGTGTTTCCAAACTCATGGGCGTTCAGAAAAGTGCTGGGTGGTGGCTGACCTCCCCGACCCTCCTTAATACTCAGTCGGGCTTGTCTCGTCGCTGTTTAAAGAGCATGGTTATTATCACCACTCGCACGGGAGGCGGGAATGTTGTAGGAGAGGGGGAAAGTGTGCCGACTGCCCTTTTCTCCATTTCACTCCTTTTCCTTCATCACACTTTGCCTGCCACCAGAACTACGGTCGCTGTTGAGGTGTCGTACTTTGATGCAGACAGTTACAAAGTTCACTTTTTTCTTTTTTTTTTCTCTCTTTTAAAAATCACTTAAAAAGTCACCGCCCGCTTTCCCCTCCCCGCTGGATTCCGTGCCGACCGGCTGTGCCCCCGTGATCTCCGAAGACAGCGCAGCTCTGGCCGACTGGCTCCCCCTACGCCATCTCCTGCCATTGACAAGAGCTCTCGCCGAGTGGTGCCCCGTCCTCGGACTCCTGCGACCGTGTCCATTTTCCCTATCCTCTCTTTATTTCTGTACGTGGATCTCTCTGTCCCTGCTCCTATCTATATCCCAATCTCTTTTATTCTTCCCTATCCCTTTCAATCCCTCCTTACCCCCATCCCTCGTGTACCATTGTTGACGTGTCACACTATGATGCAGACAGTTACGGGGCTCACTTTTAGCTTCTTTTCACTATTTTAAGAATCGCCCCCCCCCCCCCACGGTCTACATCGACGTGTCGCTCTAGCAGTGACGTCACACGCCAAGTTCCTCCACAGATCACGTGACGACGACCGGTAGTTTCGCTAGCGCACTGTCCAGTGCGCGAAAACGCGCTTCCTTGGCATTTCCGTATTCCAGGATTGCTGTGTCTTAGTTTTGTCTCCAACAAAAGAACGGTCAAAACGATCAAAGTGGCGAAACGTGCTTGCTAAACCCTTGCTGACCTTCGTCCTGCGGCAAAAGCAGATTCAGGACACACGGAGCCAAACGGAACCAAAAGAACAAATATCAGACAAGTCTTTGTACTACCCATAATAGCCATGCTGGATGAAGCGCCATGTGTTTCAGCTGCCGTACACCAGCGCCAGAGTTCACTACAGCTAGTGTACTTATAGGAAACTTCATGACTTTTACCACAGGAAAGTCGAACACCAAATGCAGGCCGTTGTAAAAAGAAGAACCCCTCGCATGCATATGCTCAGCAGTACGGTGCACAAATACGATGTTGCGACCTTTACTGTCTTTTATTTTTTCTTTCAGGCAACATGTGCATAGTTCATAGACACCACTGGTAAGTACAGCGGAAAGCGGTGAATGGCATAAGCGTATGGTGCCGCGGGCAGGAAACGTAGGTGTTTGCTTTTGCACGAAGCTATTTGACTATATAGCACATACACTTAGTGCGCCGAACTGCGATGCATTTCAGCTGCACCTGTCCATAGTTCTGTGGAATAAATCGTGCAATTTATAAAAGCCTGCATCTATCTATCTATCTATCTATTATATCTATCTATCTATCTATCTATCTATCTATCTATCTATATCTATCTATCTATCTATCTATCTATCTATCTATCTATCTATCATCTATCTATCTATCTATCTATCTATCTATCTATCTATCTATCTATCTATCTTCCGAAGCAATTATCAATCCCCTGCTACGTCGTGCATTATGATCGTGTTGTGATTCTGCACGTTAAGCCCGAATAATTGTTGTTATTTATACTGACAACCGCGCATCTCTACACCGCAGCTATACTTCGCGAGAAAAGACGACGAAGTAAGGAGGTAAATTAAACAAGATAAACGTGTTTCGTCATTGCTAAACTATTTTGTTTTTAATTTGCCGTTCACCTGTTTAGTAGGAAAAAAAAAACAAATCACACGTAATTTAGAGAATATCTAGACATTCCCACGAATACGCTACATGATTCTGATTCTTTTGAAGTTTCAGTCGGGTTGATAATTCCATTCACGCCGGCGTTATTGGTGTTCACGTGATTGATGTTCGTTGTTGGTTATGTTAACGATATCGCCTGAAAGCTGGTTACGTTTCGGTATTGTTTTCACGACGAACGAAGCGACAAATCGCTGCCTCGTGTTTTACGTCCTAAAAGCAAGATATGATTATGGGAGACGCCGTAGTGGAGGGCTCCGGAAGTTTTGACCATCTGTTGATCTTTGACGCGCACTGACATCGCACAGGGCCTCAAGCATTTCGCCTCCATCGGTATCGAACTCGCGACCTTCGGTTGAGCAGCCGAGCAGCCATTGTTCCACCGAGGCGGACATGCCTCATTCAATCGCAGTTCGTTGAGGATTAAGGAAGTTCGTGCACGCTGTTGCCGTGTGTGCGCTAACCGCACCGATAGGCACTCACCTGCTGTGCCGTGACAGTTGCGTCGGGTTCGTTGAAATCCTGTAACGTGGCCCAGCTGAGTGCGTCCTTTCCGGAGAGGCCGGGTCGGTATCGAAATGGAGGGCACCGAGTCTGCCAAGTCGCCGGTGCGAGTGGCGACGATAGTCGAGGCAGCTCCGTTGTCACTGGCGCCTCTAAATGACTCGGGTGAGGCGAGCCCCCCCGTCGGCGACACCACGTGGTTCGGTGGACGACGAAAGAGAGAGAGTTAGACGTTTCCTCCTTTTGGGTGTGCGTGCAATTAAGCCGGCAGCTGACGTATCTGCATTCGCTTTCGCTAAGCAGAAACAGGTCTTCTTTGTCGCGTGCATTTCTTGCCCGCGTTCTGCAGTTCGAATACAAAGAGGTCGGGGCACTTTGTAGATAGAGCGTGGCATACGCTGCCTTGCTCGGCGTTTGGTAGAACCACGAGTGATGTGTGAGTGATTCTTCATTCATTCGAAAAAAAAGAAGGAAGGAAGGAAGGAGGAAAAAATAAAACAAGAAAGTTCGAGGGAAGAGGTACGCGACTTGGGAGAGGAGTGCACGACAACTGTCGCAATGAGGACAGACCTTAACCGAAACACTCGCAAGGGATGGGGATAAAAGAGACGACGAGAGAAAAGAGAAAACTGTAAAATATGGGAGATAATCGGTGTGGCCAATAAGAACGGAGGGAGGGTGCTTGGTGTACACCATTATTTATTTATTTATTTATTTATTTATTTATTTATTTATTTATTTATTTATTTATTTATTGAGTACATACTGCGAACCGTAAATGGTCCAAGCAGGAAGGGTAGATCACATAAAAAACAGGAATAACATGCACCATACATAATGCAATTCACTCTACTTAAATTACAATGAATGGGAATCACATAGTTTGTTCCAATCAGACACTGTCCGTGAAAGAAAGAATACATAAAGACATCAGTTTTCGCAAAATATGGGGTAAGCAAATTGGTATGGTAATGTCTGGTCTGGCTAGTTGATAGGAAAGATAGATACGGTGATGGATCAATAGCGAGTTTATTGTTAAGTAGCAAGAAAACAAAATCAAGCCGTTGTTAGTCTGCGCGAAGCAAGTGGCTGAATGCTATTTGCAGTCATTAGTGCAGAAGGTGACTCAGATGGTAAGTATTTGTTGTATATAAAACGAACTGCTTTCCTTCGGAAATTTTGATTGGTATGTGGAATTTAACGTCCCGAAATCCCCCTAAGATTATAAAAAACGCCCTAGTGGAGGACTCCGGAAATTTCGACCACTTGGGGTTCTTTAACGTACACGCAAATTGAAGCACACGGGCCTGCAGCATTTTCGCCTCCATCGGAAATGCAGCCGCCGCAGCCATGATTAGACCCCGCTACATGCGGGTCAGCAGCCGAGTATACCTTAAGCCACAACACCACCGCGGCGGGGCACCTCCAGAAATTTCTCGATTTTGCAAGTGTACACAAAACACATGCATAAACATACAGAAAGGTAAATTAACCCTAAGTAGTGAATTACCCCGTAAAAAATACATTTCTGGCCATGCCCTCGCATGGGTTGTTTAGTGTCGAAGCGGCCAAATCTGGCCAAACAGCTCCAGAAGCTTCAGGTAGCTGGAACTTATTCGGTGTAAGTACTGGCAGGTCCAACCAATCGCTTCAGGTGAAGAGAGGTGCAGGTGGAGGAGGGGTCTTGTTTTCGGAGTTACTGTTATCATTTGACTTGTGCCGTACTGCATGTACTGTTAAATATTTTTGTGGCACAAAACTCACTCACATATTCTGTCATACGTAAGCAGTAAATCAAACATTAAATATGACTTAAATCTGACGAAGGATGTCAACGTAACAAACTTGTGTGTGGAGGGGGGGGGAAACGATGCTGTTAGGCCATTTGTGATGTGTGCGACCCCTTCCTCTTTAGATTTTCAGCTTTACGTATAGGACTGTACTGTACGTGTGAAGGAAAGACGTGGAAACTTTAAGCGTTCGTTTTAGGGGTGAAGCTCCTTAAATTATGGGTCGTCCGTCCGCGAAATATGTAGTATAGTAGCAGTAGTAGCAGCAGTGGTGGTGGTGGTGGTGGTAGTGGTAGTAGTAGTAGTAGTATCAGTAGGTATAGCTACTTCTCGTTTAGTCCTTGGAATGTCCGCTGGATGGCGGTATACTTCTATATGACGATATAACAGATAAATACAAATATCTGGGCGTATGGATAAGCAATGGGACCGAGTATCTGAGGGAACACGAAATATACGTGACGACTAAAGGTAACAGGAATGCAGCAGTCATGAAAAATAGGGCACTGTGGAATTACAATAGGTATGATGTTGTGAGAGGAATAGGGAAAGGGGTCATGGTTCCTGGGCTGACGTTCGGCAATGCGGTCTTGTGCATGAGATCAGAAGTTCAAGCAAGATTAGAAATTAAGCAACGTGGAATAGGTAGGCTTGCTTTAGGAGCTCACGGCAATACACCAAATCAGGGAGTACAAGGTGATATGGGATGGACATCATTTGAGGGCAGGGAAGCTAGCAGCAAGATAAAATTTGAGAAACGATTGAGAGAAATGGGGGAAGAGCGTTGGGCTAGGAAGGTTTTCAGCTACTTGTACATGAAGAATGTCGATACAAAATGGAGGAAGCGAACCAGGAAGTTGACTGGTAAATACTTAGAAAACAGCAGGTGGCCAAACCAAAAAGAACTATCGGTTAAGAAGAAAGTGAAGGAAACGGAGACTGACATGTGGAGAATGGGCATGATTGAGAAGTCCGCACTAGAGATCTATCGAACTTTTAAGCAGGAAATTGCCAAGGAAAGGATCTATGATAATACTCGGGGTAGTTCTCTACTGTTTGAGGCCAGGACGGGAGTACTGCGAACCAAGACATATCGGGCCAAATACGAAGGGGTAGACACAGTATGCAGTGCGTGTGGAGAGGAAGAAGAACTGCCGAACACTTAATAATGTTCTGTAAAGGGCTTCACCCTATAGTTCAGGATGATGGCGCAGAGTTTTTCAAAGCACTGGGATTTAGGGACAGCGAGGGCAAAATAGACTTTAAGCGGGTAGACTTAACTAGAAGGAGGTTATCTGATTGGTGGCTAAAGTCAAGGCACGAGTGAAAATTAAATCCTTCACTGCGAAGTACGAATCCTCAACTTCATTATTTAAAGGAAAAAAAAGATAAATGGAATGGTTAGTTCACTAAGTATTACGGCTAGGTGGCGTTAGCCGCCGCCCGATCTAAAGGGTACAGCCACATTCATCCATCCATCCATCCATCCACGAGTATATGATGAAAAGATACAAGAAGGCGGTACTTGGAGCGTTCACTAGATGAACGGACGGATGGACGCACAGACGGATGGATGAACGGACGCACGGACGGATAGACGTACGGACGCATGTACGGACGGACGAATGCATGAATGGATGCACAGAGAGTCGCGCGGACGGAGGCATGGACGCATCGCCCCACTCATCATCATTCTCTCCGGGGATATGCTGTGATTTTTTTTTTTTTTGATAAGCATACCATTAATGAGAACTAGCGGATATGGATGGCCAGAAAAGTGTAGCGGATGTCCGCAGGTCGCGGGTTCGAATCTCGGCTGCGGCGGCTGCATTTCCGATGGAGGCGGAAATGTTGTAGGCCCGTGTGCTCAGATTTGGGTGCACGTTAAAGAACCCCAGGTGGTCCAAATTTCGACCACTTGGGGTTCTTTAACGTGCACGCAAATTGAAGCACACGAGCCTGCAGCATTTTCGCCTCCATCGGAAATGCAGCCAGGATTAGATCCCTTGACATGCGTGTCAGCAGCCGAGTATACCTTAAGCCACAACACCACCGCGGCGGGGCACCTCCAGAAATTTCTCGATTTTGCAAGTGTACACAAAACACACGCATGAGCATACATAAAGGTAAATTAACCCTAAGCAGTGAATTAACCCTCCCCCCCCCCCCTAAATAAATGCACTTCTGACCATGCCCTTGCATGGGTTGTTTAGAGGCGAAGCGGCCAAATCTGGTCAAACAGCGCCAGAAGCTTCGGGTAGCTGGAACTTATTGGGTGTAAGTACTGGCAGGTCCAACTAATCATTTCAGGTTAAGGGTGGGGGGGGGGGGGGGAGGGGTTTTGTTTTTGGAGTTACTGTTATCACCTGACTTTCACCGTACCATATGTACTGTTAAATATTTTGTGGCCCAGAACCGACTCACATATTCTGTCATGCGTAAACAGTAGATCAAACAGCAAATATGACTTAAATCTGTCCGAACAGTAAATCTGACGAAGCACGCAAACGTAACAAATGTTCGTGTGGGGAGGGGGGGGGCAACGGTGCTGTTGGGTCATTTGTAATGGGGGTGACCCCTTCTCCTTTAGATTTTCAGCTGTACGTAAAGGACTGTACTGCACGTGTGAAGGAAAGACGTGGAAATTTTAAGCACTTGTTTTAGGAGCAAAGCTCCTTAAACCATGGGCTGTGCGTGCGCGAAGTATGTAGCATAGTAGTAGCAGTAGTCGTAGTAGTAGTAGTTGTAGTCGTAGTATTATTAGCAGGCAGCCACCTCTCGTTTAGTCATTGGAATGTCCTATGGATGGCGTTACTTCTATATGATGAATATATGATGAAAAGATACGAGATGGCGGTACTTGGATTGTTCACTAGATGGAAGAACGGATGGACGCACAGACCATGGATGAATGGACGCACAGACGTGCGGACAGACGGACGCACAGACGGACGGATGCACGAACGGAAGCACAGGCAGTCTTGCGAACGGACGCATGGACGCTTCGCCCCACTCATCATCATTCACTCCGTGGATATGCTGTGATTTTTTTTCTTTGATAGGCATGCTATTAATGAGAACTAACGGATAGCGATGCCCAGGACAGTGTAGCGGATGTCACTAGAAGTAAACGTAACTTAAATGTGACGCTAGAAAAATGGACGTAAAGATAAATTGCTGCTGGCAGGGACCTTACCTGCGACCTTCGAATAAGGCGTCCGATGTTCTACGAACTGAGCTAAAGCGGCGCGGTCATCCCCCTGTCCACCTTGTGTACGTGCATTCAACGTGGGAGTGTCAGTCAGCGCCTCCAGTAGTCATGATGGCGAGTATGGAAACCATTTTTTTTCCTGTTGGCGCCACGTAGCACGTGATATTAATACGAGCTGGCGGCTGGCCAATATTTTCTAGAAGGCAGTGTAAGTGTGGTTCCCTACTTCATGGAAGTTAGTGGACGTTTAGTGGGTACCTTGCGTGTGCTGTGCCGGATAACGGACCACACACTATTGATTGATTTTGTGGGGTTTAACGTCCCAAAACCACTATTTGATTATGAGAGACGCCGTAGTGGAGGGCTCCGGAAATTTTGACCACCTGGGGTTCTTTGACGTGCACCCAAATCTGAGTACACGGGCCTACAACATTTCCGCCTCCATCGGAAATGCAGCCGCCACAGCCAGGATTTGATCCCGCGACCTGCGGGTCAGCAGCCGAGTACCTTAACCACTAGACCACCGTGGCGGGGCGGACCACACACTAGCCTAGACCCTAAAATGCTTTGCAGAATGCTGGGGTTCAACTCATGCTGGGACCCTGACATTTTTTTTTTTATGTTCGTCGTGCCAACGCAGCCGATTTCAGCTTTTAGGGGCGAAGCTCCTAAAGCCGTGGGTCTGTACATGCCTGTCTCTCTGTCATGGTGCGTGACCGCCTATAGTGGCCTAGTTCTATGACTCAGATAGATAGATAGATAGATAGATAGATAGATAGATAGATAGATAGATAGATAGATAGATAGATAGATAGAATGATAGATAGATAGATAGATAGATAGATAGATAGATAGATAGATAGATAGATAGATAGATAGATAGATAGATAGATAGATAGATAGATAGACAGATAGATAGATAGATAGATAGATAGATAGATAGATAGATAGATAGATAGATAGATAGATAGATAGATAGATAGATAGATAGATAGATAGATAGATAGATAGATAGATAGATAGATAGAGTGCTTGCAGTACGCAATGAAGTGCTCCGCATTTGAAAAAAAGAAACGATGAAGGCCACCTATGCAGCTTCGCTCTTTCAGATTTGGCACCAATAGTGCGAAGCTGGATTATATTTTTTAATTCCTCTATTACCACGTATTGGCGTATCAGTATGACGCAGAATGTGTGTGTATATACACGTCCCTGGTTACCGGCCCTTCGCCATTCAGTAGTGCTTTGGGTTGCTTGATCTTTAATTTATGCTTGGTAGTAACACATGGAAGAAAACATGTGTTCACCGAAGAGGAAACAGAGAGCTCGCATCCTTTCGCATAGGTCGGCCGGACACAGGTGTGCACGTGGCGTCGTTTTTGGCAATAAATCACTACATTCGGATGCAACAAAGAAAAAAAGTGGCTTTCAGCCGTCAAAGGACTCGTTCCCCCTTTCCCCTACTCTATGGTGTGATCGTAGACGTGTGTGCACGAAGGGGATAGGGGAGGGGGCCGCCACCCTTAGCCACTTCAGAGGCAGGACTTTCACTGCCACCCCTCCCCTGACGCAGAATCCTGCACATACCTGTGATCGTGATCACCTGAGTAAAACTTGTTTTGGGCCTAGTTGGTTCACAATACTAGAAGCTCTTTGGAGGTACACATGCGTTGACAATTGCCGAAATAAAGTCAGTTGATAGTCAGCGCTTGTGTGTGTCGTCTCTTTCTTTGTGGTGTATACTTACGTTTGCGCTTTAAAATTACCTTTAGGTGTATGATCATGACTTCACAGCCAACCACATTGCGCCTTGAAGCAGCGCTTGGACCCAAGTTTCTATGAGTGCGTCTCCGCCGTACAGCAGTTCCTCTGGAAGCATTTATTGCGAGCAAACAAAATTTCTGTCACATTTTTTTTTAAATTTCCATGTTAAAGTACAACACGTGAAAGAGTTTATGGTTTAAAGACAGGTTGCGAGAGCACTGTCTCACTGAAGGAGCCGATGGATTGTGGCGTACTGTGGAGGTGGCCATACTGGTTGAGGTCCGTCAGAGCGGAAGAACACTCATTCCTCTGAGGGTTGAGGCATCAGAGTACAGTGTCACCCTCTGCTGCCTCTCTGTGTCGGTGGCGTAGCAGGGGCGGGGCTCCGATCTTCCTTTCTTGTATAATCATCCCTAACAAGAAGGGCAGACACATGTACAAAATAAAATCACATTTATTCGATATTTTGTCGTAAGAGTCTTCCTCAGGAGCTACGAAAAATACCGGTCCAGGGTCGTAATGTCCTTTTTTTTTTGTATGTACGCCCACATTTTTTGTACACGCAGATATCTGCGCACGCACACACACACGAGCGTCCCACTCAGAGTCTCCATGACTATAGGCTTCCTGCGATGTACTGGCCTGTCTGTACTGTACTGGCCGATGTACTGGCCTATTATAATAGCGAGGCTTTCTTCTGCGACGTCAAGACTGGACGAGAGTCTTTCTTCTGATGGAGAACGGGTTTGTTGGGGATAATATATCGTGAAACTAGTGGCGCGCAAATACAGACACAGACAAGGACACTGTCGTCTCTCTCTTTGTCCGGGTATCTTTTGTGCGCCACAAGTTTCGCGAGAGGTTGGTCGTCTAACTTGTTTGAAACCTGGCAATATAGATTATCTCAGTGTGAGCTATACACTCCGCGCTGTCGCATAGAACATGTCGAATTGTTTCTTCATCGCCTCATTGTCGCACAGGCGGCGGCGTATAGGTAAACGCGACGGCCAGCCACACTGATCTCAGTGGCACAGAACGGTAGTGTCAGTTCGGCCGCCTTACAGAAGTCTTCATGTGATTCGATGTCTGAACGTGGGGTCAGGGGATCGTGCATGCATTAAGTGTGAATCATTCCGATCTATTTGAAAGTGCTTCCACTGGGGCTAGTATGTATGACCACAGAACACCTACGTATGACAGTCTGAATTAACACGATGTGCTGATTAGATGAACAGAGGCGGATCACACAAGAACGCGAAATGGACGAGGACCTTGCGATCTAGCAACTTTCGTTCATTCGCTTTCGCTCGTAGGAAAAGTAAAGGTTACGTGTGCAGTGACAACAAAAAGTGCGAAAATCAACACGAACGTGTGACGCAACAGCTACAGTGAGCACGTGACAAGACATGAAGAAATCGAAGTGTACAGTGTTTGAACAGCGTAACCGAAGGCGCGTTAATACACTCGCGACCTGTTTTACCTCATTCGTAAAAAAAAAAAAAAACAAAGACGCTTGCATAATTTTTCTATCTATTTTTCTATAATTCCCACAAGTGCTACAGCTTCTTCGTCTTCTGAATACGAGCTGTGCACTTACAATTAGAACAGTGTGCTGCTAAATTGCCTGAAATCCTCAGCTTACTTAACAAATTGTCATGCTGCCGCAGCGTTTTGTTCAGGCAATGGCCGATTTGACGGACGTGTGTCAATCGCCACATGTAAAAGGAATTTCGTACATAACGCCAGTTGAGCACTCTACGTATTTATACATATATGTTTCACCTTGCAAGTTTCCCGAGACGCCTGCTAGTCATTTGCTTTCTTGCCCAGCCCACGCAGTTTGTGCGGAGCTGGAAAAATTACTTTCGCCCCGTTCCTATCGCCTGCTTTTCTTTCTTTAGCCCCCGCGATACCCCATGTACGCGCAGCACAACAGCATGGTCATCGGCAGGATTTTTTCTTGGTGGGGTGCAAACCAGTGTGGCAGCGTAGTGGGGGAGGGCACTGGTGTAGCTTGGGTGGCAAGTGCTGATGAGGCTTGAAGGATTTATGATGATGAAAAACATTTAATTCTGTAAGTTATGCACAGGGAGGTAGGGAGTGCTCCTTAAGGGGTCGTCCCGTATAAACACTAGGTGGGCACCCCCTTAGTTAAGCGTGCCCGGGCACGCTTAACTGCCAGATAATTCCAAGTTGCAGGTGAAGTTGCTCGAATATCATCATTCTTCATTAATTATCGGAGGCCGCTCTCTGGAAATCTCAAATCCGAGTTCTTCATCGTAAGGGTTGCAGTTGTCCCATTTGGTGCGATCATGTGCAGTGTCTAATTAAGGTAGATTTTTACATTTGCGTAATTAAAGTTTTAATGATTGTACATGTTCACTGCTACAGATGTTCACTGTTACAGAAAAAAATAGCACGAAGGCAGCGCACATAATGATCTCATTACGTGCCCCTATTACGAAGGAAATTCGGATACATTTTCTGAAACGCCCTGCAGACAAAGCAATTCTTCGTTTCGCTCACAGACAAGCCACACCAGTGCTCCGCCCTCCCAAACACATAATCGACAAAATCCTGCCAACGCCCACTTTAGGTTACTCGCAGGCCGACAGCCACCGAAAACGAAACTCTTCGTAACAGGTGGTCGCCATGATCGTTCTGGTAGTATGGGCGGTTTCGGTATCACACTAGAGCTACCGAAAACGTCACTAGAGTTACCGGCGTCACACGCAAGGTTCATCACGATTATGACCAATCGCGAGCGAATTACTCAACAGTGGTCGGCTTCCTTCTAGCAAGTGATAAAAAAAATTCCAACTGCATCAGGCCCGATCGCAATCGATGGGACCGACTCCTGTCGACGTACATCCTCGAGATTTTTCCGATGTATCTCCCGGAACATCTACACCGGCACGGTAACGAATGTTCCTGATGCGATTACATGCCTATCCACGTCCCATTGAAGTTGCGACGTTGACGAAGAACTTGGCAGCGTTCTCACATCGTGGAATGCTCCGAAATGGCCGGACCGGTTTGCGCGACTGGCGTGAACACGGGCCACTTTTTTTTTTCTTCTTCTTTCGGTTCCCAGAGATGCAGGCCGCCCTGACCGGCTCCGTTTTCCATTCCTCTCGGAGAGACGAGCCGCCCTCGCCTAGATATCACGTGTCCTTATCGCGGAAACAGCCAACGTGCGGTGCCCGCGAGAGGGTACCAGGAAAAGTTGAGATAGGAGACGTGTGACGCCGCTCGCTGTTTTGTCTGTCCCCACCAACGGATACGGACCGTGTCCGTCGTCAGTTCGATCATCGCCTCCTTTGGTGACCGCATCCCCTAGCAGCAAGCATGTCTTCGAATCCGACAGGTGAAGCGACAGTGCTGTCCGGAAGGCAAATTGCCAAGTAAGTGCACGCGCGAGAAGGCGTGCGTGAAAGCGGGGAAAAAACAAATACGACGCACTACTAACTTCACGTGTCTCGCGGCAGTTCGCCGAACTTTTACCGCCGTGCATTGCTTACGGGCTAGAACGTTAGTAGTAGGGCATTTCTTTAACACTAGTAGCGGTGCAATTTTTAGCGACGTGAATGCACTCACTCGCAGCAAAAACTCGTAGTGGTGCATCTTTTCACACCGAAACTTGTAGCTGGCGCATGAAGGGTAGTTATCCAGAGAGACCTCTCGCAAACTTTGTTTGAAATAGTTTGCGTATGTGAATCATTACGGTCAAAACTTCGAACTGCAGTGCGGGATGAAAGGCTCGTATTCCAGGATCACGCCCTAAATCGTGCTCGACTCGAAATCAAGCTCATGGCCTTGAATCTGTGAATTCTTGGATATTACTATAAGTAAGGCAGCTAATTGGAACATATGATGGTCGTGCTTGTCTCTTGCACTTCCTTGTTGTTGTTTTTTTTTTGGTTTTATTTCTTACGCTGACCGTCGTGAGTTTTTATATAAGTAAATCGGTGCTAACGAACCATGTAATTCAATACCTGACGTACGACAATGAATTTATTAAGATAACAGTGTGTCGCAGCACTGAATGTTAACTTGGGTGCATCTGTGTCAGCTTCTTCAATTCCTGCACACTCATCTTGAAGCCTCATTATCAGCAAAGACATCCTTTCTGACCTTGCTCTGGACGTCTGAGGGACAGGGCTCCAAGACTGCTGATACTTGCGAGATAACTCTGAAGCAGGAAAATGTGAAGGCTTCATATCTTTACATGGCGTGGCCGTGAACAGATAATTTCCTATTGAAACCTCATGTGGGGATGCGTGTGATGAAACCATCCAACAAAGCGTTGCTCTTGTGATAATAGTAATCATTAATTAGGTGCAGCAATCCATAGGACGTAGGAAACGGCTGACGTAGGAAACGGCTTAAATGATTAAACTGGCAAAGTATGTTGAATGTAACAGCACAAGGAAAAATAAGAAAAGCAGTTACTCACAGTTAACCACAAAGGAACGTGATGAATGAAATAATAGGCTAATAAATGCTGGCAAATAATGCCATCACATAACTCAAATGCATTGCCTAACCAATCTACTGAAGTTATTGAGCTTAGCTGTTGAAACGTTTATTCCGGGATGATGTATATATCGCCCTACTACGGTGGTCTAGTGGCTAAGGTACTCGGCTGCTGACCCGCAGGTCGCGGAATCGAATCCCGGCTGCGGCGGCTGCATTTTCGACAGAGGCGAAAATGCTGCAGGCCCGTGTGCTCAGATTTGGGCGCACGTTAAAGAACCCCAGGGGGTGGAAATTTCTGGAGCCCTACACTACGGGGTCTCTCATAATCATATGGTGGTTTCGGGATGTTAAACCCCACATATCAATTAATGGGATAATGTATAGAATGAATGAGATACTATCACTTCTTTTTGTCAACTTTCATGACCTCTCTGTAGCTATTCTCGACTTGATATCCAACTGGATGAATGAAAATGTTTTATTGCAAAACAGAACTTGCACAAAACTATATTAATAGCACGTTGGGATCCTTAGCCAGTTAGGCCAATAATGAATTAATTTCAGGAAATGTTTGGAATTTCCTGCCTTCTCGAGTAAAAACAAACTTTACTAGTTTAGACCTCTCATGCACAGCACGTCCTGTTTGCAGTGAAAGTGTCATCGAACTATTTCTTCCATTCTTTTTTCGGAAGCGATCAGTTCTGTGAGCAACTTGTTTTTTATCTTCCTTTCTTCACAAAATTGCCGTTTCCCTGCCTAGGGAAATCCGGGAAAAGTTGGCTGAAGAGGTCAAAGCCATCAAGGCAAAGCACCCGGAGTTCAGGCCTATGCTTGCCATTGTCCAGGTGAGCCAGACAGTATGCCACTGGCACCCATTTTCTGTGATAGCAAAAGGTGACAAGATAATGATGTGTGTAAAAAGTTGTACCTGAGCTGGCACAAAAGCTGACATAGTGCAGAGACACTATGCATTCACAAATGTGCCTTAGGTAGTTGGTTATTATCTTGGTGAGGGAGGGGGTGATTGCGAGTGAGTGCTTTGTTGTTGTGTGGACATATGAAGCCTAAGCATTGTGCCACAACCATTTGTGGAAGTCCGTTTACAATTTCTTTACCAATCAATGCTCAGCCAGGTATTAAATATTTTGGTTGCTGTACTGCATTGCGTGATACAATTTCACCGCATCTTGCTTGCATACGCTCGCTTCTGTCTCTTGAGTCGGTGTTTCTTGCTTGCATTGGCAATCTGTGTTCCTTTTTTTTTTGGCTTTCTTCATTGCTAAAGAAGAGTTTCTGAAGATCTGCGAAAGATTTATTTCTTTTATAATCGAGTAAGTAGCATTAAGATTGCTTTGCTATTCAGCTGAAATGCTGCCACATGGTGTCTCAATGGCCATTGTCTTGTCATCTGCTAACGGATTGCTTCATTGATGCACGTGTGCGCAGTGGGGGTTTTTTGTGACAGAAAGAAACAAATCTTTGGAAATAGCCATGAATCTTCGGAAATAGCCAGAAATTAATGTCACATCTGCATTAGCCTAGGATGTGCCCACTTTGTTGTTGTTTTTTCTTTTGCAACAGACTGGATGATTTTCCAGGGAGCAGATTTAATACCTGGTTAATGTGGTCACAAACATTTATTAAGTGTAGATTCAAGCATATTTTCCTTGAACCATGTTGAACTATGTATCCTCCTAACTCATTGCAAACTAATCATCACCCATTACCTAATTGTTTATCAGCAGAACTTTAGCAGTTATTGCAATTGATTGAAAAAAAAAAGACAGTGTATCAACATCTAAGGGGTCAAAATATTAATTACTTTTCTTTCAAATTGCACCTAGGTTGGCGGACGAGAGGATTCAAATGTCTACATTCGTATGAAGCGCCGGGCGGCTGAAGAAGTTGGCGCTGAATCCCAACACATCAAGTTTCCTCGCACCATTACCGAAGAGAGGTGAGAGGGAATTTCATTTTGCCACTTGCACGCAGTTCTTCCACTGGGTATTCCAGTAGACATTACCTACGTTCACATTTTCATGAAAGACTCAAGGTGGCTCTCAAATGCGAAGGATAGGTGACCACAAACTGCTTTTTCACCAGTTTTATACTTGCCTTACTGTCTAGAGCATGTCAGTAGTTGCTATACTTGGTTGCGAAGTACGAAACAAATATGTGCACCTCCCTCATAAAATTTACATAAAAAGTTCTATCCATTTGTACTTGCTAATTTCGATGACTTCAAGTTCTTGAGTGCATGATATAGCTAACTCCCACATTTGTAACCATGTTTTTTGTCGCTGGTTTTAGATCAGAAACTTGAAAGTCATGATTGATTTCATTAGGGATTCTGACATCGCTGCTAAGCCAGATGTAAGGCTACAGGTTGTAATAATGAACTTCCAACTCCGATCAGTGTAGTACTTATAGTAGACAAAAAAATGTAGTGCTTGCAGTCTGAGCAAAAACCAGCTAGCACGACTTTTTAACACGTGTAGGTCGGAAGCGCCGCAGTTTTATTGGCAGAGCTGACATTTTTTTTAGGTTTTAGCTCAGTATGTCATCTCTAACCAGTTATTTTCTCGGGTAGCTTAACTGTAACTTGTTAGTTACTTTTACACCCGAATAACCTTTATCGGTTAAACTTACTTTTTTGCTCAATAATGGCAAAATTGCCCTGTTAGGGTTGCCTATACTTGTATAATTGAGCCTAATAAGCATATTTTATCAGCAAAGCACAGAGCAAACAAAGAAAAAAGAGATGGGTATGTTGATTCAGTGCATTTTTCTTGAAAAGGATAAATATCTTTTGCCATGTGAATTTGAATTCGTATTGGATGTATTGCTTGTGTTTCTCATATTTCAATTGTTGTTCTTGCTGTAATGAAAAAATAACATTGACTTGATGCACAATAGTTGTAATGAGCACGAAGCATCTTTGATTGATTACTGTCTAAAAATAAAAAAATTGAATTTCATCTGGTGAAATCATTCAATATTTTTTTCTTGGTGCGAATGCACCTACTGCAAGAAGTCTCGCTAGCTTCCATAGCGTTGTGTCCTGATGAATAAAACTGGAGTATAATCATACGCAGCCTTTTTATAATTTGTTAGAAACTTACTAGCGTGCAGCCACGTGGATTGTTAAGGCTGTGTCTTTTGTGCTTTCGCAGCTGTTGAAGGAAGTCGAGACACTGAACAAGGACCCCAGCATTCACGGCATCATCGTCCAGTTGCCGCTAGATTGTGAAACTAATATAGACTCTAACCGGATCACAAATGCAGTCTCACCCGAAAAAGATGTGGATGGGTATGTTCCATAACTTGCCACTTCCGTACTTCTCTGTTCTTTAACTTGGTGTACTAAGAATTGACACTGGTTACTTATCGACACTTTTTTAGGGAATATTGTCTGGCAAGAGGGTAGTTGCAGAAGATCTTGAATAGTCACACCCATTTGTAGCGTGAAGCTTCGAAGAAAACTTGCATGGGATCTTGAAAAGGTCAAACGTTTGTCTTGGTGTGGCAAGTTCTATCAGCTAGCACACTTTCTTTCTGGGAAAACTTCATTTATTAACTTCGTAGCTTCCCAGTAAAAATGGGTGAATGACATTATTTATTTCCCAGTTTTTAACCTTTTCCCACTTTAGCAGGCTTCCCAAAACTATTTGTCATAGTAAGTCTTATTGAAGTACTCAGGTTAAACTTACTTCCAGGTTAAGTTTTCTTCTCAGTGTTCCAAATTCAAATGTTTCTGTAAAAAATTTCCAACTGAGTCATAAGTATGTTTTCCATTCACTGCAGTTCCATAAATTCATTTGTTACTCAAAATCTGCGACTTCAGATGCTGAAACTAATCCGTAGTTAGTAGTAATCCAAAATCAATGCTTTATTGCTTGTCGAAACTAAGAGACTTCAGTGCGCATTCAAAACTTCAGTGCGCATTAATAACTGTTGACGTATTTCTGTATGTGTGAAGCGTAATCTGGAGTTCGCTGACACAGCTCTGTAATTTGATTGTAGTTTTGACAGTAGCGAATTCGTGGTTTATTGTTCTTCTAGAATCCACGACCAAAATGCTGGCCGTCTGGCTCACGGGGAGTTGGAAGGCTTTTTTGTCCCCTGCACACCAAGAGGCTGCCTTGAATTGATTAAGCGTTCAGGTAAAGTTAGCTTTGCAGTGTTTCCTGTCTTGCTTATATGAGGCATTTTTGTGAATGTTGCCTAGTTAAACTTTTGATAAGCCCCTTTTCTGGCCTTATAAATTTCGCTTATGAACTGCCAAATGCGAGACCCTGGCTAGGGCACATTTCAATTGAATTTTATTGCGCAGAGCTTGCTCATTTTTTATGTCTAGACTTCGTGAGGGGCTTTTTTTTTCTCCAAGATGGGGTATCGAAGTGACCTGAAATTCAAGTCCTAAATAAACATACCCAAAGCACTAAGGCATCTCTAGAATTCTTGTGGCGTAAGTAACAATCATTCTCTTACTATTTTGAATTGTTAACATTACTCCTAGGAGATTACAGGATAGTCGGGAAATGGAGTATGATTGTAAGGTGAGCTAGTTGTTTGACGTTCATGATAAAATATTTCATGGACTGCTCATGCAGTGCTTCTCTCTTTTGACCTACTCTTGGGTGCTGCATGAAATTTTTATCGCATTTGGAAATTATGCCAGGGAATAAAAGTACTATCAAGAGGATTATCTTGATGTGGACTATCAACTAAAAGCTTAGATCCTTCACAGAGAGTGAGTTCCGGCTAACAAGCACATGACCTAAAGTGCTTGTTAGGACAAATTTGCTAGGCATGACTATAAGCAATAACTAATGTGTACTTCAACAAGATCTTCAGAAAAGTACAAGTTCATTGGGATTACAAAGTAACTTTATCTTTAGAGAGCAGTACATTTTTTCAGGGTTGTCGGGCACAACCTTGTTTTGCTTCCAATCCTTTCACCAGGTATGACTGATACATAGCGCTGGACAGTCATTTTGGCATTGAAGTAGAAAATTGTGAGTAGGTCACCAAGTATGTTGCTCTTTGTATCACCCTGATTCCATCATCACACAGTTATATTTGTAATCTGCACAAAGGGTAGAGCCAGGCGATGGGATTTTTCTTTCATGCAACGTGTTGGACAGTGCATGACTGGACAAGAGACAAGCTATGTGGACATGACGTTTCCCGTTGTTTGTGTGATTCACACTCTTCATCATGCAGAGTTGCTGTTTGCATTTTTTTAACTTATTGTCTTTTTACTGCGCTCAGCTCGAGCCTGTGTTTGCAACACTTCCGAGAAGTGCCTCATCCGTTTCACAGGTGTCCCCATCGTGGGTGCTCGTGCCGTGGTGCTTGGCCGGAGCAAGATTGTGGGTTCGCCAATGTCGTCACTGCTGTTGTGGAACCACGCCACAGTGACCACTTGCCACTCAAAGACGAAAGACCTGCCGTCAATGGTAAGAGGACGCGGGCAGATTCGCTAAGCTCTTGCACACCTGGTTAGGGCATTCCGCTGGCGGCTTCCAAATATGGCAGAACCGAACTTCGTAAAGCAGGCTTACGTAGAACGTCCTGAGGGGCTACATAGCTCATTCAAATGACATAATGGTAAATGCACGAGACGTGGCAGGTTTTCATGTACGTCGATTGGGACGTTCTTGCATACAAACATATGTTTACAGTGTCGTTTTTTATAATAAGTATTCAGTTCAAACTGCTCATCCCACTACGCCATTCTTGTGCATGCCTGCCAGTACTACAGTACCTTGTGATACATACCTTTAGAGTGCTCATGTATTGAGATGCGACATCAAAGCTTAGTATAGCGAATAGTACGTGCGATTTCTCGAAATAATTGCCTCATGTCACTACATCTGGTCGCTTAGGATAATGGTGAATCTTACCTAACTGTTTGAGTTTAATTTACTCCAGTAATACTCAGACTGAATACTGTGGAAACGAAACTGTATGCATTAGATAGCCCTAAATTGTCTTTTTCAGTTTGTGAGTGCAGTGTACTAACGTTTCCTTCGAGTAGAAGTTGTAATTGTTTACAAAATGCAACAAACTTGTTAGAAGAGTACCAAGAACCGGATCTTGGACACATCTCACGATAGAACGAAGTGCAATGTCACAAGAGAATGGAGAGGGTGCAAACGGCCAATAAGCGGAGGGGCAGCATCCATGAAGAATACATAATGTCTTGATAATCTGCTAAACGATCATATCATGAATTTATAAATGTTCTGAATGCACAAAAAATGTAAAATACTTACACCTGAATGTCACTATATGGGTGCCTCGTTTTTCAAAGCTTGAAACTGAAGAGCGTAATTACTTTATTTGTGCTGATGTCTTTATTGGGTGCTATGTGACACCTCCACTTCATGAGTTGGTTGGTGGTGGCTCTGGAAGCCATTTTAATGAACTCTAAGCCTGAGGTTAAATTCAGCGGGGCACAAAGCAGGTTTATTCACTTCTCCATCCCGACAGCCTCTGTTACGAACCAATCCAAAGCATTTGGAGACTTTTCTATATCCGTTCTCTCAGATGGAACGACATGTAGATTTGTTCTTTGCCTAGCAGATGACAAAATTGTTTACAGTACTCTCTTTCAGTTACCGGTATTATGTCTGATCATCAGAGATATACACGGGAGCCTCAATCCCGTGCAGCGTGATGGAATGTTTTATCACACAACATGTACGATGTCATGCCCCAGACTGTGTGAAAAGTTGACATTTTGTGCTTGGCGACTGCTTTCGTTAGCTCGTCTGCAATGTTTCCTGCAGTGCCGGGAAGCCGACATCTTGGTGGTGGCCATCGGCCGCCCACGGATGGTGAAGGCTGACTGGGTCAAGCCTGGCGCTGTGGTGATTGACTGTGGCATCAATGCCATCCCAGGTACACATTGCTTGAAGCCACATTTTCAAGAAAGGCTAAGGTTGTGAAAATAGGTGAAGAACATGGAATTTATTTAATGATGTTCTAAGTGTAGAACAATACCTTTCCTAGGATCCAGCATAGACACAGACAACACTGTGAACGAAAAAGGTAATTAGGGCAGAGAGCCTTAAAATTATTGGTGATCTGGTATGGTAAACACCGTGACGTTTTCTCTAGTAGCCTATAGGTACGAGTCGTTCGGCTTCTAGAAATAGAAGAATGAACTGTTTTCTTTTGAGTTTCGAAAGGGAAGAGTTTAGAGAACCTCATGGACTGCAATATCTGCAAATATTTCACTTGTGGCCCCGCAGTTATGGGTTGAACTCTGTTGCAGGAGGCAGTTGGGTCAAAACCCATTGTCAGTAACCACTGGTAAAAAATGGTACGCGTGTCGGGCCATGTTGCCTGGCTTTCTTACAAGATTTCGCGGGGCTAGGGAGGCTTCTGCTGTTTAGTGATGCTTCTAACGTGTGGTGGGGCTTCTAATGCTTAGTCAGGCTTTCGCAGCTTCAATATTTGAACAGTCATTGTTACCAGGACTACTTCTAACTTTGTTTTTTCTTAGTTATTGTGGAATATCATACATGCTCAGTCAGTTGTGGTTAATCATTGTTTCGTAGTGATGCATATTTCCCGCCATGTTTTAAGTCTATTTTAAGTTTACAGTGGTTTTCCCTGGCCCGTTGTTCCATCTTCATTCTGTCATTATAGTTTGTAACGTATACTCGTAGATGCGACCCGAAGCTCAGGCACTCGCCTTGTTGGTGACGTTGACTACGACGAGGTGAAGAAGGTGGCCTCCTACATCACACCCGTGCCAGAGGGTGTGGGTCCCATGACTGTGGCCATGCTCATCAGCAACACTGTCGACTCAGCCAAGCGCTGTCTTAAGGCCTCTCTTAAGGTAAATTCTCCCCAAGTTACCTCAAGTTAAGGCGAACTGAATCGCAGCAGTGTACGGAGCTGGTACAGGTTCATGTTGAAAGGTGGCGTGAAGAAAACTAGACACAAAGAAGAAGACAAGGGACGGTGCCTGCCACGTGTCATCTCCTCTGCGTCTAGTTTTTCTTCACCCTACATTTTGGCATGAACGTAAAGTCGCCTCGTATCGTACCTCATTAATAGGGAGCCAAGCCTCAAAACTTCAGTCTTGTTTGGAGCTCATGGCATAAAGCTATTGGTGCATTCGTTAGCAGCGCAGTTTAGTTTATTAATGCCTTACTGATATAAAACTGTGGCTACACAATTCAAAGCATTTGGCTTGGGCTAAAATCTTCTTTCTGCATGTGCAAAAGTTTTCAGCCCTGAATAAAAAAGTTTTCAAAGGTGCAAATTGTTGAAAAAAAAAACACTGTGTGAACTTCAGGGTACTTGGAGATAGTTTCTGCTGTCAGTAAATTCTAAAGAAAAGTTCTATGCTACCTTGGCACTTCAATTTAGTGAAGTCATATCTGGTTAAAAAATAATTTGTTAAATTTGTTAATTTGTTATAAGCAAAATTTATAACAGTGCATGAATGGCTATACATTCTTCAATTACTTCTTTACAACCGAAATATTGCTATATCCTGATTCACTATATCAAGGTTTGACATATTAAAAAGCTAATCTTACCCCTAGAAGAAATATATTCAGTCAGAAAATGTCAAGTGTCATTGCTGCAGTCCCTTTGATGTCGTTGCACCAAAGTTGCGTGGAGCTGTAAATTCTTGTTCCATTGGCTGTGGAATAAAAAAATGACACAGCCAACTGATATAGTAAATGTTTTTTGGTTTGCATTGTGGGAAACAGTGTACATTGTAAAATTTGGTGGAATTAATATAATGACCTTTATAAGCTTGAAGAACTTCCACTACGATACACATGGTTTTGACTGAAACATTGCAGTGAGTTTTAGAATTGAAGTATGAGCTAAGTTTTCTGTGAATATCTTAGCATAAAATGGATTAATATATAAATTGTGTGTCTACGTAAATTAATTTAGTGTTACTTGTTAATGTTACCTTGCTTATTATAATAACATACTTTGGTCTAGTCACTTGAATACCGTGTCCAGGTATTAATCCCATGTCGGCAAATGGTGATCATTTTACAGCTAAAGCTGTTGCGAGATCAGAACATGGGTTGCATGTACGGCATAGTGACGGACACCATGCATGCGATTGCCAATGCCTGTAACCACTATCGCATGAAATAAGAAGAAAAAAAAAACTTGGTCAATACGAAAAACACCAAGCACACAATGGAATCCCAACCTGGGTCCCCTGCGTGTCAGCCAAGTATTCTACCACTGAGCCATGCCGGTGCTCAGAACTCCATTGAAACTGGCCTTAGACAGGCTTTATCCCGTGAAAGGAATAGCGTTAGTATGAGTAATAAACCACTTTAAAACAGCGAAGAAACAACCAGGGGTCAGATAATGCGAATTGTGCAACGAATGGGTCATCAAATGCGCCAACCCTTCACAAAAGCTTGATCTTGCCCACCTATTAACTGTGGCACATACCCAGTGTGGGGGGATCACGGGTATTACAAAAGCTCCTGGCATAATTCATCTCTGTCAGCCACAGCACAAAAATAATCGGCATGTCCACAAAGTGAATAATGATGAGCGGGGCGAAGCGTCTGTCAGCCCGTCCATGCTTAGGTTCGTCTATTTGTTCTTTCTTTCGTATGTCCGCGCGACCATCCGTGCATTCGTCTGTTCGTGTGTTCGTCTGCGAGTCCATCCATCCATCTTTAAGGCCTCTCTTAAGGTAAATTCTCTTGAAGTTACCTGAAGTTGAGACAAACTGAAATGCAGTAGTGTATGGGGCGAGCTGGTATAGGTTCATGTCGAAACGAAACGTCCGTCCATTTGCCTGCTAGTCTATCTGTTCATCCGTCCTTGCATCCACGAGTGAGCACTTCCAAGTACCGCCATTTCCCATCTCCTGTGGCACATACCCGCTCTAGAGCGGGTATGTGCCACAGGAGATGAGAAATGCTACATACATCGGAGAATGTACAGACCCACGCCTTAAAAAGCTTCGCCCCTTAAAAAATTCCACAGCTTGCAGCAGCTACCCGAAGAGTGTTGATAAAAAGGGCTTTGAAAGACCGCTCTTCCACCTTTTGCTGAGACAGTGCTGCGCGTTACGCGCAGGCGTGGTGGTTCAGGGGTATAACAGCACAAACGCATCACATGAAGAAATCGTGGAAGGATACTTTCATCTTTTCCCCCCTTTATTTGGCAATATCATTTCTGATGATGATATGCTATTCCCATAAACGTGCAAGTTAAAACTGTTGAGGTCAGCACACTCTCCCGTGCCTTGGTCTTATTGTTACATGTTTTGCCAGTGAACTATGCATCACCATCTAACTTGCCAGCAAATGTTAGCAAAATATTATTCTTAAGAATATAACATACATGAATTACTGCAGGGGCTTAAGCAGAAAACTTTTTCCGGGGGGGGGGGGGGGGGGCACCACTTTATCAGTAGTGAGGGCTTAATTACTGTCATGGTAAAGTTAATGATGCCAACTAACGTATACGAGATGTTATTAGTAATAGTTGTAATGTTGACGTAAAGAAAGAAATGCTAAAAAAGATAACTTGTCACAGCAGAAACGGAACCTGCGACTAAACCTGGTTGCAGGTTCGGTTGCAGGTTCAGGTTCCCTGTTAGCGGCGAGTTGCCTTTTTGTCCACTTTTCTTTCTTCACATTTGCATTACAATCACAAATAATATTTCTTGTACCTTCCTTAGCTTCATTCTCTGTTAATTCTCATTAATATTGTGTCTAACAAAGGAAAACGAGCCCTTCAATTTCTGCTCGTTTTCTTCATGGTAATGCCGATGACAGTAAACAGAGCTGCCATTTTACACTTCTAGTAGACCTTTCAAATATTCTTTCATGCATTTAATCTCCTCAGTCTTGGCGGTGGTTGTTAATGACATGCCTTTTGTTTCATTTTGCAGCAATAAACACCCCCGTGCCTGTCAACGAAGACTGCTCAATGGATTTCGAGGCAGCTGTTCAAGTTTAGCACGAGCTTTGAACAAATATATTTTTGCGAATTTTGCAAGTGCCTCCAGTATAGATCAATAAAAGTTGTACTAGCAAGCGGCGGTGATCCCTGTTCCGCTGCTAGACTTTTGCAAGATTTGTAATTTCAAGAGACCACCTTTTCTAACTTCCAAGAGATTGCAGGACCGAATCCGAGGGGCGGCGGCCGCATTTTCGATGGAGGCAAAAACAGTTGAGGCCCACGTGCTTATATTTAAAATTTAAAGTTTTGTAGGGTTAAACGGAGAAAATTGTTATAACTACCAAGAGAGGTGTTAAAATAAGTGTACATGCTAGATTACAAACTTGTTTTACACTCATGCCTCAATGTAACTTATATTGACATAACGAATTATCACTTATAGTGGAGTAAATGAAGAGTAGTCCCATTTTAGATGCATTGTTACAAATATATGCTTAAAGGAAATTTTTAGATACAATGAATGTAGTTTCATGTTAGTTTGAAATATGTTGTAATGAGGGCTGATTGTATTGCATCAAACAACACAAAGGGTTACACCACTGCTGTTTTCAGGGGACCAAAAATGACTCAGCAAACTGACATGAAGTGTACTAGCATCATTTTTTTTTTCATGAACAGACTCTTCTTGCACAGCTATGCGCCTACTTGTAAACAATGAGCTTTAGTACTGATCTGGTATGCAGAAACGTTGTTGTAAAGGTGCCCAGCCCTATGGATCGCATAGTAGTTGTCGGTTTGCCTCTGTGTGTTTGTAGGTATTTTCTTTCCGTTTCTCTGCTATGTATTCAAGTTAACGAATTCTTTGCTTACATGAAATGGTGTCTGAACAGCTTTTTGTTTTGTGTAAGAATTTAACGATAATATAATAAGAATTAATGAATAAGAATTGAATTATAATTAACTGCACCATATTGGACTATACCGTCATAGACTGTACCATCGCTTCATGAAGGCTCCACGAGACTAAGCAAATGTACGTTGACACTAATAGTTTTTCTTAGATTTTAGACCTGACAATGTTTGATGGGTGGTGTGTAGGGATGCATGTTAGTACATTTCAATCGATTATTAAATTGGGCAAAGAAAGATCCACTTGTAATAACGAATATTCAAAGTATTCAAATTTAACACAGATGTGCATGTCTTACAAATTTTGAGCAAAAAAACTGCTGGGTGTCAGGCCCACTTTGCCAAAATGAGAGCGCTGTGCTGAAATTTGTTCAGATTTGCTGAACAAAAACTGAACTGAAATATCTAGAAAAGAACGTTCTTTTTTATATACATTGCAAACACAGCAGCATTCTCCACAATTTAAAATATAAATGAAAAGTAGCTATTCTCTGTTCAGCGGTCTTCTCTGGATGTTTTCTTCGGTTAGCTATTTATATCTAATCTGTTTTCATCCCTTCTTCATTTTTAGTAGCGTATCTATTAGGTTTGCAGATTAACGAGCGCCACGAAGATTTTCTAGTCACATTTATGCCGTTTTTGTGCCTTTGCTGAATATCCGAGCAAAGTATTCTTTCAGTCTGTAAGCATATTTCATAATGCCATTTGCACTGGACACTACTGCTGTGTGATGCACTCTCCTCAGTTGCGTCAACTCTCTATTAGTAGCCATCGATAAATGAGATTTGGTCCTGCGGCTACGTCTCAGCCATATATAGTCGAAAGGCACATTGTCATATCCCCCCATAAGACCCCGCGTTACTGATGCGCGATTTTCCTAGAGAACTAGTCTGGCAAGCCGAAACGCTTGCGTACTAAACAATCCGGTTCAGCAATCCGTGTCGTCTGCTCGTTGTACACTCGTAACATCCGACGAAGCGAACAGAAGGTTTACACGTGACTTATTTCAGCTTACGTCAT